CAGTTTTATTAAGTAAAGAACTTGTGTCGCTTAAGTTTCGTCGGAACGAAGTTACGGAAAATCAATTAACAAACGGAGACGTAACAATATTATCATTCTACAAAGCACGCGTTTCATTTTTAACTTGTGTATTTTACACAAATATATGACTTTGACCAACTTTTTTTTGATCGTTTCTTTATATTTAATGATGTAGCAAGCAAAACCATAAAATTACTTAATATAAACATGACACAGTACTGGTAATTAACAGTATAAAAAGTCAGTAACTTTACGGTTAAGTTGTTTCAAAGCTTTCTTTCACTAACTGAACAATGGCTATGTCATAAAAAATTGGACAGGTAGTGTTACATGAATATTTATTTATGTTACAGCCAGTAGGACCACCAAATAACCCGTTAATTTTTGACCGGGTAGCTAATCGATTGTTCTACAAAGGTTTCAAAGGAGTTCTTCCTCATTAAAAAAGATAAAATCAAAGATGAACAACCAGCTAACAGTATCATCACTGCATCTCAAACTGTGATAAACTTATCATCCTTGAGAGGAGCTAAGAATAAAAACATTGAAACCTTCCTTATATTATCAATAACCTTTTTTTAAATTTGAATTTCAGAGACCTAAAGAAATTCTAGGCATTGTAAGAAACTTATTATAATAATGCAACCTTCAGTCATGTAATTTCTTCATTAATATAAGGAACTTTATAAAGAAGTATCCTTTCCCATAATCCTCTCTGTTTAGATGTTGTTGCCTACTCCTTGGTAAGGTGATAATTTTCTTCTGTAATAATCCAATTCAGATTATTATAAAGCAATACAATATAAACTTAATACAATAAGAGTTCAATAACTGCCCCTGCACATTCACCTTTGAGAAAAGTAAAAACCTAAACCCACCCTATATTTTTTGGGAAACCATAGGTTCCCCTATGAAATTCTTGTAAAATTGTGGCTTCAGTAACTCGTTCTATAAGCCAGTCAACCCTTTTAAAAAAATCAAACTGGCTTAAGAGGAGCCTAGCCTATCTATACTATATTTTAAACTGGTGTCCTTTCATTCTGTTGTTTTCACAATATAAGACAAAAAATCACAGGCTTTTATCCTACTGATCCTGTCAGATCATCTTGTAATCTTCAATAAGATTACCTCTTACCCTTCTTTTCTCAAAAGAAAATATCTTAAGAGATTTAATCTTATACCCATAAGATAAACCTTCCATCGTCAGAATCCTCCAGGTATCCGTCCTCTGAACCCTTTGCAGTTAGTCAATATCAGGTGTTAGATAAAGAAACCAAAACTGTTTACAGTATCTTAACTTCCCAAGTGTGGCTCAACTGATTTTACTGATGTACAATTTATAGATAATTAGCACTATGTTAATATCCTGTTTTTTTAGTCACACTGTTCAGTGGGTTCCCATGTATATTAAATGTGATCAAAAGTATAACAATCCAAGTGCATTGTCTGGCATATTTTATAATCAAATTTTATTTGCCATATATTTGTCTGACTAACCAACTGATCCAAACTATTCTGTAATACTTCAATATTTTCAACACAGTTTGAAATATTCAAGAGTTTAATGTCATTTACAAACTTTACTAATCATGCATATATTAACATAAACAAGAAAAAACAAAGGTCCAGTAATGTTCTCTAAAGCACTCTACCAGTAACGAGGGTCCAGTCTGACTAGCCTTCACTAATAACAATGTTTTGCTTTCTCTCACCCAACCATCCTATACCCCAATTTAATACCTTTTCCCCAATCTCCAACCTGAAATAAAAAATTAGGTAAGAATGCCAAAAAAAACATACACATTATGACTCGTATCTTACTTAAAAACGTAACATTAATTTATTCAATACACGTTTCTTTCAAGTACTTGACAAATTAAAAGCTCAATTCAGATTTTAAAAAAATTCCAAAATTAAGTAAAATATTTATTGGTTTAATATTCATAAAACTCTAATGACATTCCTATTTCATAATCATTCAATGAACATAAAATAATTTACAGGAGGTGTACAGATTTTTCCAATATAAAACTGTTACACTTATTACTATTATTGATCTTCTTCGTATTCTATAATTAATTTAAATTAATGTTTGTAACATTTAATAAAAAACTGTATAAAACTGAATCCCATGGGATTCAGATATAGTAATCCCTAATTTTGATCTATTGTCTACAGAGAGGGAAACTAACCAGAAGGTACCACCACCAAAGGGGTTTTGTCTATCTCTTTTAAACATATAACAGAATTGTCTGTCATTTTTATTATGTACCCACAGTTGAATGTGTGTGGAGCTTATTCAGTAACACAGTGATTCGAACCCATTATACTAACCACTAAGCTATGCTTGACCACATTTAAGAAGACTTCGTGAAAAAAAGAAGAAAAAAAGGTTAATGAGAATTTCGAATTTTAAATCTTGCTTGCTCGATATTTCACTTCATAAATGTTCACAGTAAATATTTTATTTCTTCCACAAAAATTATGAAAATAATTTTTCAAAAACCATTAAGGACTAACACAAAAAATAGTCTTTATTCTAAAAGTTTAAAAAAATCCTGTTGTTTTATTGGTTATGCACAATCTTGTATACATTTCTTTACCTAGTATGCTGGTTTTTCTCTGTTTCTTCCAACCATTCATAAAATAAATTGTACAGTAAAAACAAGAGAGTGAATTTTTGTAAAAATGTTGTTGAAATATACATATTAAAATCTTATAATCTAAGTATTAAAAGTTGTTCAAATGTTGTTCTAATTTGATACATTTCTGACTTTTCAAACATATACAGTTGTTAAAACACTCAACTTGTTTTGTAAGCTTCTGAGTTTTAAAACATCCAAAACAATCAAGATATTAGAATTAATATGATAAACTTCTGATTTTCAAACTTCCAAGACAGTTTGATTTAGTTTGGTAATCTTCGGAGTTTTCAAGCATCCAGGAGAGTGAAAAAATTGGAGTTAGTCTGGTAAGCTTCTGAGTTTTAAAACACCCAGAACAGTCAAGTTGTTGGAGTTAATTTAGTAAGTTTCTAAAACATCTAGAGATCTTAAGATGTTTGATTTAGTTCAGTAAGCTTCTGTGCCTTCAGAATGGGATGTGGAGCTAAAAAAAGAAAAGTTACTTAGTTGTTTATTTGCATCTGTAATTTGCCCACATTTTAGGGCACATTAATAATTTTTAAATATCTTTTGCAAAATCTGAGCTTACAATTTATGACAAATAATATAAAAAAGATATTTTACAAACTAAAAAGTAGACATCATTTCATTGTACATTAAAACTGTTGAAATATACCAACGAACCTATTAAAAAGAAATAACATTCCAACTTCATTAAAAATTACAAACCCAGTAATCAGTGTGATAGTTGCAGAAGTTACAAATTTTAAATATTTTCCTAACTATGTTTACTTTCATAAAATTTAGATTTGCCTGAAGTTATTAATATATTTCTATGTGATTGTGTCTATCAAACTAGCAATATATAATGTTACGTCTCCGTTCGTTAGTTAATTTTCCGTAAAAATTCTTTCCGAAGAAACTTTACCGATAGAAGTCCTTTCTTAAATAAAACTGGTTTATTCTTTCTGAATGCAACTTTGCGATACACTTAATTTCCACAGTCGCGCTATAACAAATGCTATAATTCTCAACGAATGTCTCACGTGCTCGATTAAACAATACTCAGTTCAATTACACATTGTTACCGTCACGCTGTGACCGTCTTATATATATAAGATTAACGCATATCTAGTAAACGCTAGAGCATTCATGAAGGAACAGGATATTTCTAGAAGTCAATGACGTGTCACTAGCGTCACGTGACTTCTGCTGTCGTAACAATAATTAAAAAAATTATCAAGTCAGATCATCACATTTTATGATTCATCTATCAAGAGTTTGTCTTCTATTCTTCATGACATTGGGTGGATGTAGTTTTTTGTAGAAAGTTATTCACATAGATCTATAGTAATCTGAGCTTCTACATAGAATTTCAGATTACTCTAGACAAGCAGTCACTCATGAGTGTTATATAGAATCTCAGATTACTCTATACAAGCAGACAGTAATGAGTGTTATGTAGAAGCTCAGATTACTCTAGACAAGCAGACAGTCATGAGTGTTATATAGAATCTCAGATTACTCTAGACAAGCAGACAGTCATGAGTGTTATATAACACTCATGACCTGCTTGTCTAGAGTAATCTGAGATTCTATATAAAACTCATGACTGTCTGCTTGTTGAATTTGATGTAAAGCTACTTGTGGGCTATGCTAGCTGTCCCTAACTTTGAAGTGAAAGGCAGCTAGTCATCACCACCCACTGCCAACTCATGGGCTACTATAATCAGATACTGGTATTTTAGCATCACAATTATAAAGCATCAATAGGGGCAAAGTGCAGAATACACTTTTATGGAATGGTATTGAGGTATGAACCATGTAATCTCAGGTCCACGCTCCAGTATGCTAGTCATTGGGCCAAGCTTGCCCCAGACTGAAGTCTTACACTTAACACTGAAAGTCAACTTTTCATCTTCTGATTTGCTGTTCAAAGAATCCTCAATTAATAAATCCATACAAATGAATACTTTTTTTTTTCACATTTGCCCCCTTTGGTTTCTGTTTTACAAATGTTTCACCTTTGATCTCCAGTTCCTCTGATTCCAACCCTGGTGTAAAGTGTTTCCGCCTGTCCTAAAAGCACATTATTTTTGGCAATGAGACAGTGCGTAAGACTAAAGAAGAACCTAAGTATTTCTTAAACTCTTGCATTTAACCTAAATCAGAACAGAGGTATTACTGTAGAAGAGTCTAAACCCAATCTCATTATCAAAACATAGTATCATAAGTTCAAATACTAGTTGTGTTGTTTTTCTTGTTCATACTTATGGCATATTTTGGAAACGTATGCAATGGTATCTTCATCAACAGCACTGGGTCATTGTTCTAATGCCCTTCTTCAGAGATTTGGATTAGTACATAATAAAGTTGCTTCTCTTCATCATTCCGTATTAGTTTCCCTCTCTTCATTTCATATAATTATACCAAATCACCACATGAAAAAACTTACATGTTATCATCCGATCATTTATTTCTTTTTCCTCTGATAAGTGATGCACCACGTGGATTCACTAAGACTAATCATCTTCAGCATGGTCAAAAGATGGATGTCAACCAGTTAACCCCGCATTGGAGAAGGAATGTTCATTATAATTATAAATTTACTAAATGTATCTGTATGAAATGTGTAAAACTTTAGTAAAATGTACAAGTCTGTTATACACAAAAAATCATGTGTTACAAAAGTATCTGTACTCGAGACATGCCTGTGAATTGATGATGTCAGTCTGATTCTTAGTGTCACAAGTTGGATTGCAAAGTGAAGTTGACGTGAAGAATGAAAATAATTTTGTCCATATTGCATGACCTCTAGAACCTCTAAAATGCACATCTACACAGCGTGGTCACAAGCAAATAGACACCACCTTTTCAGAAAAAATTAAATTTTTCAGTCATATTCACATGAATTGATATATTTATAATTTAATTAATATCTAGTAAATCTTCCTTTCGCTTCGTTGATCCTTTGGGGCATCGTGATACTCATCTTGTCAATTTTAGATTGTGGGATTTTCACCCACTCTTGCTTCAAAACTTGGAGTAGATCGCTCTTCGAAGTTGGTTTTTTGGTTGTTTCTTGACTTGCCGGTAGAGTA